GGCAGCAAACAGAACCAACACCTTGGGAACATGAAAGAACAGGTATCATAATGTCTGTGTCATTGCTTTGCTAACACTCCTTAGGCCCATATCGGAAATTGTTGAGTCTAAAGTTGTGAAAAGAAGATGAAGAAAATGAACGTGTTCTAAAATGGATTGTGGGATGGTTGCACAAATTATATATATGTTAAAAATCATTGAATTGTGTACCTAAAGTGGGTAATTTTTAGGGAGGGGTAAATTATACCTCTCTGTTCAGAGAGACAGGGGAAAGAAGTGACAGGGAGTAATATAAGAACTCAGAACTCAAATTCCTAGGTCTGAAAACGGATATCCATTTTTTCCCAGGATCATTTGGCAAAAGGTAAATCTCATAGCTGGGATAAAATACTGAAAAATAACACAAGTTTTGTCTTTTCCCTCATTTTTGGATACAGACATAAATGTGACTGTGAATGCTAGCTTTATCTATTCGGAGAGTGATATTTATGTGTCAAGTGACTGTCGGAGTAGCACCTGTGAAGGCCTTGATCTAGTCAAGAAAATCGCAGTAAGTATCTGCCTTTGTACATAGAGCTTACATCCTCTTGGCACAGGACCATCACAGTGTGAAACTTGGGTACCTGTCCATGAGCATCTCTCACATCATCTCTAGCCACACAGCTGAGTGATTTGAAGACTGGGTACTCCATCTTCATCCCTATATATTTCCCAAGTGATGAGGGCCCTCCAGGAAACCAGGGAAGTGGGGAGAACCTTAGCTATGTACTGTCTGTACACTTTCAGTGGCATTATTTTGTTTAGAAAATTTTTTAATTGAAATGTTGGTAGTAACTGGTTTGCTTTGTGTCTCTTAAGAAATACCTGAAGTGCCCTGTTAAAATTATTTCAAAGCTCTACACCAGAAATCTCTGTTTCATGTCATTAGCATATATTTGTTCACAGGTTAATTGCATAGGGCTGAATCAGAAATCTAACTTTAAAGTAGTAACTGTAATGTCAAAAGGTAGAGATGAGGAGAGAGAGATTCTTGCATAGTCCCTCCTCTGAACTCCTAGCTCCAACCAGAGCTTTATGGAGTTAGAGAGTGTTCCACATTCTCTACAGGAAAGTAAGTGTGTGAGACACCCCCTTTATGACAGAAATCTAAGGAAAGGCTCTCCACGAAGCAGGGTACTGGATGCAGAGCCATGGTTTCAAAGCTTTAATCAATAACATGACACCAGCCAGATAGGCCACACCCATGTCAGGGAGAGTGGTTGATTTCAGCAGTCAGTCTCAATCTTGGAAGCTCAAGTAGTGAGCAAACGCTGTTTAATAAACACCACTTCACGATTCTAGGAGGATGTGCTTCTTCCCTGGATCCCTACAGAGGGATGCATGAGCTGGCTCTCTAAAACCAAGGACGGGATGTTCCTTATCACATTCCCCTTGAGAAATAGTAGAAAATAAGTTCTATCGTCGCCCAACTGATCACACAGCATTTTGTTCTCTTTAGCCCTGCTTTGTAGCTCTCCCTGAACCTGAAACTTGCCCACTCCCTCCAAAGCATCCTCAAAACTACTTTCTCCCTAATCTGGCCTACAGGTATTGCTCATGTGCCCATCTGCCAGTCCCTATTCCATCACTGTATATCCCTCTCTTGATAAAGAATCCTGGTTTGCCAGCAGTTAGCCCACTTCTAACGGGATATTTTCCCTCCACCCACTGCACCACCTTTCTGTCAGTCTTCTTCATCCCGTAGCAGCCCCTTGCCCAGCCCAAGGCACCTTATGTTGCTCCTTTCTGCTCTGCACTCTAGCATCTAAATCGGCCCACTTTCTAAACTTCTGGGAGCTTTCCCTTTGCCCCTCCTTTTCCCTTGATTCATTTTTGTGTTTTTTTTTTTTTTTTAGTTTTAGGTATTAGTTTTTTTCCCTTTTTTTTTCTCCTACAGGCTGAAAAAACAATGGGCTGTGTCCTTATGGGGCCCTCGTGTACATATGCCACCTTCCAGATGTAGTAAGTATTTGTTTTGTTGTTGTTTGACTGCCACTGTGAATTGAAGTCAAGACATGACATTAGTGCTTAAATGATTTATCAGACAACAGTCTAGTCAAGGCAATAAAATAAGGGATGTTAAGGCCCTCGTATTTTGTCACATGTCCATAACCATCATTCCTCTATCCAGGTAACTCGACCTTTTTTTCCGTGTAGGGGGAATGACAGCAGCTGTTTGGGTTTAGTTACTAACATCTGAGCTTGAGAGGCAACACGGTATACATTAAAAAAAAAAAAAGTCAGAGTCCTGGCAGGAAACAGGGAAGACAGTGACTTGGGATAATTGGAGAACTTTAATCAAGGAAATACTCACAAAACTATGAGCAGAGTATGGAAACCCAAAAAAGGGCAGCCTCCTAGTGCATTAGCTGGGCTCTGTTCTAACCCTCAGTCTGTAAGAGCAGGGAAAGTAGCAGGGTACTTATTTCATAGTGTTATTTGTGGATTATGTAAATAACATATTAAAGCACTTTGCACAGTGCCCCTACCAGCTTAGAAAGAAGCTTCCAATATATTCTAGAATGAAAATATTTCTCTGTCAGAGAAAACTATGCAGAAGGGCCCCTTGAAATGGATTTTGGAGGATAAACATTCGACCTCTGAAATTTCCATGGCAAAGCCTGCTTCTCACACCTGACACCCAGCTGTACAAACAGACGCAGATGCTCCTGCCTACAGCACATCGTAGACACACCACAGAAGCACTTTTAAAGCCCGTCTTCCATACCAAAATGCAGACGAATACGGAATCTTACTCTTTGTTGTACTCATTCCCAATTGTCATCTTGCCTGACCACTTTTTTTTAAATTCCTTTTAAAAAAAATTTTATCAAATGTATCAAGGGTGACATTGGTGACTAAAGTTATATAGATTTCAAGTGTACATTTCTATAATACGTCATCTATATATTGCATTCTGTGCTCACCACCCAGAGTCAGTTCTCCTTCCATCACCATATACTTTACCCCCTTTTCCCTCTTCTACCGCCCTCTCTCCACCCTTACCCTCTGGTAACCACTAAACTGTTGTCTGTGTCTATGAGTTTTTCTTTGTTTGTTTGTTAGCCTTGTATGTTTGTTGCTTTAAGTTTTATATGCCACATGAGTGAGGTCATATGATTCTCTGACTTATTTTGCTTAGCATGATTTCAAGATCTATTCATGTTGTTGCAAATGTCAGTATTTCATCTTTTCTTGTGGCCGAGTAATATTCCATCCCAATTTGGATGCCTTTTATTTCTTTCTCTTGCCTGACTGCTCTGGCTAGGACTTCCAATACTATGTTGAATAACAGTGGTGATAGAAAGCATTCCTGTCTTGTTACTGATTTTAGAGGAAAAGCTTGCAGTTTTTCACCATTAGGTATGATGTTAGCTGAGAGTTTGTTGTATATGGACTTTCTAATTATATAATGTTTATCCTTTATTTTGTTTCTGTGGTGTATCTCACCGATCGATTTGCATATGTTGAACCATCCTTGTGCCCCTGGCATGAACCCCACTTGATTGTGATATATAATCTTTTTAATGTATTGTTGTATTCAATTTGTTAGAATTTTGTTTAGGATTTTTAAGTCTGTATTCATCAGAAATATTAATCTGTAGTTTTATTTTTGTGTGTTATTCTTTTTCTTTCCAGTAGGCACTGCTGGAGTGTTTTATTTTCTCTTGCCCTGTTCTGGCTTCTCACACAGTGGGAGATTTCCTGGGGAGGTGGACGTCTCTCTGTGACCAGGTGGCCTCGGTCTCAGGGCACCACCCCATGGGGGGATGTGGCAGTTGATGGGGTTCTGAGCCCCTGAAATCCCAGTGCTGCCCCTGCAGCCAGATCCATAGCTGTGTACCCCAGGAGCTTTGGGTGCCCCTACTGTGATCAGCCATGAAAGGTGGGGATGGGGTGGGCTGAGAGAGGCGGCTAGTATGTTTGTGGCTTTGTTCTCTCCCAAGTAATGGTGACTGCCAGACCACAACTCCCTTACCCCTATAGCTCCTCCCTTGTCACTGGAATTAGCCTCAGTGTGCATCTGCTGCTCAGGAACTCTCTCTCCAGTTCTCAGGGCTGTAGGTATTCTGCTCTTTAATCTGACACTGCTACCTTTTTTTTTGAGCCTGCTGCTAACACTGGGAGAGTGTGGGAGAGGCGAGCTCTGGGAGGGGGTGGGCGGTGCCCAGGCTTTGTGGCTTTGTCTTCTGCCTGACAGTAAGGGCTGTTAGAGCGCAGTTATTGCCCTTCTGTATTTGGTCTCTGCCCCAGTCACTGGGTCAGCCATATTATATGCTGATCCCTCATGCAGAATTGCTGAGGCCACAGAGCCCCAGGCTGTGCCCCACAGTCCCCGTCTCTGCACTTCTCTCTTGCTTCCTCTCCTGCTCACCCCAATTCACCCACCTTCAGATGTTTCAATGCGTGGGTCTCTCAGATGTGTTTGTGTGTTGCATAAGAAATCCTTTGTTGCATTATAGCTGTTCAACTTGTTGTGACTTCAAGGGGAGACATCAAGGAGCACCCCTCACACTGCCATGTTTCTTATGTCACTCCTGACCACTTATTGACACTACTATAGAGTGTGCCCAAAAAGAAAGGAGGCTTAAGGAAATCAATACACCATTCATGAGGACTTGCCATGTGCAAAGAAGCACTTCAGTTTTGCTGATACAGAGAGAATTAAGTAAAACATAGCACCTGCCTGGTGAAATAAAGGTGACAAGGACACTGGTGACCAATACTAGGCACAATGAGATAAGTTCCATCAAAGAAGTACCACCAAGATGCTATGGATGTACAGGAGGAAATGGTCAACACTGGTTGGGAGAGCTGAACTTCAAGTGAAGAAAGACTTCATGAAGGCAGTGGTATATAAGTTGTGTGTTGAAGAATGGGTAACATTTTAATGGGTAGACATGAGGGGATAAACACACCAGCCAGGCAGAGGGAGATGTGTATGTAAAAGCAAAGAAGCAGGGATGTGTAGAAATTTGTCAAAGTCTGTATTAACTGGTATGCAAAAGATGTATTGGAGAATAATAGCGATAAAACTAGAAAAATTAAGTAGGGCTATATTTGGGAGGCCATGAAAGAGACATATTTAATTCGATTATTTGTTATGTATGATTTCTTGTATTTAATTAACCACTAAGGTTGAGCAGGGAAGTCCCCTAAGAAGCAGCTCAGCTTTGGGAAGGATAATTGACAACCGTGTGTGAGAAACATTGGAGCACGTAAGGAGAGACTGATGACAGGGAAGCCAGAAGGGGAGACGGACGGCCTGTTCAGCATGACAGCAGCTGACATGACAAGGAGGATAGCTTTTACGTATATTTAAAGGCGGAATCAATAGCATTTGATAATGATTGGATGTTGGGGTAAGGGATGGAAAGTAGTCAAAAAGTCTTTGAGATCTCAAAACACTAAAAGAAGTGGAAAAATTAGAATAAGGAATAATTTTGAGAGATAAAAAGACAAGACAAATTTAGTTGTGAATAAGAGGAGTTTGAGACGTAAGCAGGATACCCAGTGAAACCTTTCAATGGAGCACTGAAGATGGAAGGGGGTATTGCTGTCCTTCCTTTATCTAACACATATTGACCACCTGCATATAAACCAGGCTGACTGGAGATACTGAGATGAAGAAGCCAGACGGATCCCTGAGTTCATGGAGCGTGCGGTCTAGTGGAGGAGACAGATATTAAACAGATACTCGCCAAAATAATTACCTGGTTTCAGGTATCAAGGAAAGTTTTCCTGATGGATAAAGAGATATTTCATCTAGGACCTGATGGATGAGCAAGAGTCAAGCAGGCAAAGGGGCAGGGGAACAGCATGCCTGGCATTTGTCAAAGTCCTGATGGAGAATGAAGTTTGTTACTTTTAAGGAACTATGAGAAGGTCTATATGCTGAACAGGGGAAGGAAAACTCTAAAATCCTCATCTGCCATCTGTCTCAAAGACAGTCCATAGGAGAGCAGGAAACAAGGCAATGCATGGAGGGGAAAATGTAGAGGGCCTCTTTTGGACTTTACAGCAATGGTGGTACCTACAAAGGCCTGCCCTCTATTTTCCTAGTCCTACTCTCCAAAGTCTATGTGAGCCAGCCTGGATGATATGACAGCCAGAATGATAACTAATTTCAGCGTAAATCCAAGTAACCAAGCTACAGATACATGAAGACACCTCGAGTTGTGCTTGGGACATAGCATAAGCTCGATAAATGTCATTTTAAAATTCACCTGTGTGGGAGGGACACCTACATGCTAAGTCAGAAACCTACTTGAATGACCCTATTTCACTCTTACCATTTATACCCACATGCTGAAACAGGTTAAACAGGGATCTTATTTGTGTACTTAAATTAATCCTGATACTGGTTTCTTTCTCACCTCTTGGCATAGCCTTGACACAGGTTTGAAGTTTCCCATGATTTCAGCTGGAAGTTTTGGATTGTCATGTGACTACAAAGAAAATTTAACCAGGTTGATGTCTCCAGCTAGGAAGTTGATGTACTTTTTGGTTGACTTTTGGAAAAATGATACATTCCCATTCAAACCGTTTTCCTGGGACACTGCATATGTTTTCAAGAATAGTACCGAGAGTGAGGACTGTTTCTGGTAAGCAGAACTATTCATATTCTCTGGCACTTGCCACGGAGAGAAACCATAGACTCGTAGCAGGCCACCTGGTTACTATCAGATACACTTTCTATCTTTAACAGCCTTAGGAGTAGATACCAGCCCACTTTCTTATACACAAATAAAAGGAAAGGAGTCAAAGGAAATATAGTATCATAAATATTGGGTTGTCGGAAAAGTCATGACGTGTTTTTTCTATGTTTTTCGTTGCAAAAATGCGTCATGACTTTTTCTGGAAACCCAATATAATCAGCATGTATTGCATTTGCAACACTCTTCCTAGTTTTCAAAATACATTCAGGTTTGTTTTTATTGATTCCCCACAGTAAACCCTCTGAAGACAAGAGAATAGGTACTATGATCCCCAATTTACCCATAAGGAAAATCAAAGCCAGAGTTAATGCTTTCACATTACCGTGAAAGATATGACACCAGAGAATGTACATTCTGCCTATACCTACAAGTAGTTAGAAATCATTTCTCTGACAGCTTTTCAGAGGAGTGAGATAGGGGTAGGCAGAGAACAGGCTAATGGGTAGCATTGCTAACATAAAATTGCAAGGTTCCCTCAACTCCAGCAAAGGTGGCAGAGAGAATCCTTTGATTGGGTTACTGTCTGTACCTGCAGGCTGCTGCTTAGCTTCCATGTACTTGCAAAAGTACATGGAAGACTTAGGTAGGGCACCACTGGGATTGCACATCTAGGGAAATCAACCCTAAGGCCTAATCCTAGAAACTTTGGAGGTGAACTTAGAACACATATAAGTTCATTTCACACAGGAGGAGAAATTATTCCTATCAAGTCTGAATTTTTGTACCATAGATTCAGAGGTTTCAATTTATCTGTGATAATGGTGCTGATTTACAGAGGAGTAGAACCTTCCTTCTGCAAGGAGCAGGAAGCCATTATAAGGGACCCACCCAGTGTCCACTATCTGTATATATACATGAAGAGTCCCTAAAACTTCCCCTATACTTTCACTAAATTAGATGCCCACAATCCTAACCAGTGTTATCATGTGGTGTATTATCTATTGTGTTAATAGTGGAAATGAATTTTAGATGAACAAGTCCCAGGCAGATCTGTAAATAATGAGCAAGTGGCATGGAAGGCTGCGAAGAAACTAAGCTGGTTTCTTAGAGTTTCTCTTTTTTATGTTCTAGGTACCTCAATGCTCTGGAGGCTGGAGTTTCCTATTTTTCTCAGGAACTTCACTTCAAGGATATGTTGAGAGGAGAAGTCCAGTTTCGGGAGATCTTAATGGACCAGAATAGGAAAAGCAATGGTAAGAAGACATGAAGATAATTTTTTGCCCACTTCTTTCTAACAATTACTGCTTCCTTAATGAGTAATTTTGACAAATCTACCACCACATTATTATCTTGATTTATTTTATATCTTTTGGGAGATCTGTAATTGCATGCAACTCCATTATATTGTTCTTTTGTTGATTTAAACCTTATTGTCTGAGAGAAATTAGAAAAGTAGAGTTGAGCAAATATATTAACATCATGAAAGTAATGATGATGTTAAAATCCAGCTTTTATAAACCAAAATGTGATCACTACCCACCATCAGTGAACTGTTTCTTAAGTTCACCTCAATCCAATATATTATTTGATTTGTGACAATACCTCAAAGATTCTGAACACTGGTCCCCTGGTGACCAAGAGGATCTATTTACTGATGTCTAGCCTCAGGCAAAATTACAAAGCAAAGATGGTCTCACTTTCCTTTAATCTCTTTGTATCTCACCTGCCCAGTGATCTCCCAGGTATAGGCCAAGTGTGAAAGGCTAATGGGATAAAATCATCATCACTAAGTTATTAGGTGATTTGCTTCACTGTCTACAGAATTCTCTTTACAAGTAAGAATATATCAGGAGCAAAGGATTCAACTGTGGGAATTTTTCTACAGGAAAATGCTTGCTTGGCAGGATTTCCTGGTATCCCTCAAATCATCATCTACTGTAATTAGTAAGCATTTGCCCAATTAAGAACCTATTATTTGTAAAACATTGGCCAAGATATGGGAAAGAAAGAAGTGTTAAATTATTCATGCTCCTAAAGAGTTTATGATTCACCTGCACAATAGAGTATAAAGATCTAATGAAGTGACCCCAACTCCTCTTACTCATAAAATCATGCATTTGGGAAGCCTGGCTGCAATTATAGAATCAGATTGGACTCTATCATTAAAATCACTCAGAGTGAGCTCTGAGTTAAGAAGATACAAAGTCCTTAGGAAAATTTCATAAATTCTCATATTAACTTATAGTATATTTTTTTCAACCACTTTACAAATGGTGACGTGCACTTCATTTATCAACAAAAATGGTTTTTGTAATGACTCCAGCCTGGCGTGATGGAATAAGCACTGAACTGGACTCATAAAACTCGAATATCAGAGCTAATCATCTACTACTTCTTTAACCCTTTGACACATTGGCTTCAGTTCCTTCAATCAGTAAAATTAAGGGTATGGACTAGATAGTCCTTTTTGAGTTTCCATGCAGCTCTACTTTGACTGTAAATTTTTTAAATGGAAGGGGGTAGTAATTTGAGGAATTGGTTTTAATCTTAAAATGTAAATGTAACATGGACATACTGGATTCAGATTCAGGCACCTGGTTCCTGCCTTGTTTGTGTGTAGACCATTGTATATTTCTCTCCTTGTCTTGCCCTCTTTCCTCCAGTGATTGTTATGTGTGGGGACCCAGAGTTCCTCTACAACATCAAGGGTGACCAGAAAGTGACTGAAGACACTGTCATTATTCTGGTGGATCTATTCAAGTAAGTATAATATTTGGAAGAACTCTTCTGCTTTCAGAAAGAAAATACTTCAAGGATTTCCAGAAGACACATTCTTTTTTCTCCTTCTTTGCACAGCTTCCTAAGGGGCTCAGTATGATAATAATATTTTAATTTTGCTTCATTCCTTCTTCATCATACTCTCATTCTTATTAAATTAATTGTAGCCTTAGTGGGGTGTATTCCTTTGACACCACTATTATGTCTAAATACCAAAGTTTGATGAAAACCCCATTAAATCCACATGTCTATTCATCTATGAGGATCCGGGTTTCCAGCCTGATTTTAAGGTCTTTTTGCAGGCAGTGATAAATCAACTCATAACCCAATATGTGCCATACCTGTGCCTTCAATTGCTAATGGCCTTTGGTCCTAGATTATTTTTCCTTCAGCCACCTTTGGTATGATGAAAGTTCCAGTTAAATGAGTTTGATCCACACAATTATTCTTTGCCTTCTGTGGCATAGTCACTGGATAGTGATCTTTTCCTCTGCACTTCTCTGGAACTAAGGAAAGAAAATTCTAGAGAACAGAAATCACTTTTTATCACATCTCCTCATTTCACCACTCATCTTCTAATTTGGTGGAGACCCACAAACTAACTGTGCCAAGGTAATATACGAGCCAGATTAAGCTTAAAGAAGGTATCACTGGTGTGCCTGTGCCCTTTGTCCAATCAGCTAGGTCACATGACTTCACTTATCTGACTACATCATTAATTATTACCTATCTGTATTCAGACCAGAAGTGATCACAGCACTAAATCTTTCCCATATTTGCCTAGTCATGTCACCCACACTAAATGTACTTTTCACAGTGAAATGAAGTATAGGAACTGCCAGCCTGTTTGACCGCAAGTTGTTCATGAAGGTAATTTAATCAATCAACTTACCTTTTAGCTGCAGAATACAGGAAGGAGGGCAAATTATCAACATTCCATTCCTACAACCACATTGATAGCTGCTTTCAATAACTGTTTTTGCCGTTTGTGAGGTGTCCTCAGTGTAGCCAGGATGGTGTGATTTTAATTTTACCAAATCCTCCATCAACTGCCAAAGTGCTGCATTCCTTTGTCACTATTCCCAAAGGACACCTGGCTATGTTTTGGGGGAAATGATGAGATTCATTTGAAACTAGACATAACTTGGGCTCAAATTCTAATTCCGACACTCCTGGTTCATTTGACTCTTGGGTATTACTTAGTATCTTGAGACTAAATCTGCTCATTTGTAAAATAAGAATAAAAATGTCCACTTTACAAGGAGAATTTTTAGGATTAGATGTGATCATATGAGCCAAATATTCAAAACAGTTCTCAGTACACAGGTATGTTCACCTACTGTTTGAATATGAAACGATGGTCATCCTAGTTATAGCAGTTCAAACATGCTAGAGTCTTTGCAAACTAAAACATTCAAATGATCAGGAAGCTTAGAAAAACCATATGATTTGCAGCACAATCTCAGAGAGTATTAACAGTCCACAGTGTGCCAAGTATTTTTTTTGGAGATGAGCAAATAAGAATCAATAAGCAAAGGTGAAGAAGTTTACAGTATTAGAGAAAATGTTTAGCTCTTCCATGCTTCTGTTTTCCCATCTGATAAGTAAATTTAATTCATAATATTTTTCGCTATCATATCCCAATATCTCTAAATTGTTACGAGCACTTAAGGAAAAGAAACTTTCCAGGTATAAACCAAGGGTCATTAAGCCTTAAAAGTGAGCACCACCTCACATGTCCAGAACCCCCCAAAAACATCTCCCTCAAATATGTGGTGATAGAAGAACTGACTCTAGGTGGTGAGCACACAATGTGATATATAGATGTATTACAGAATTGCCCACCTGAAACCTATGTAACTTTACTAACCATTGTCACTCCAATAAACTTTAATTAAAAAAAAATCTCCCTCACAGAAATAACTGTATTATGATCTTCCTTTGCATTTGTGTATGTTAACCATAGCTGCCTAAATTCTTGTATTCAACTTAGCAGGTATAGAAGAAAATATGCCTATCTCAGAAAAGTAGAAAGTTTTGTGGGTTAGCTACTGGGAAAATAAAATGTTTTCAACTATTTCAAGGCTGATATTACAGTTTGTGTGAATTGTAGGAGCTCCATCTCTATTTTTGGAGTAACATAGTTTTCATGAGGAACTTGTGCTTTTATTATAGTGATGACTACTTCAGGGACAATGTCACAGTCCCTGACTATATGGAAAATGTCCTTGTTCTGACACTGCCTCCTGGAAATCACACCTCAAATTGCACTTTCTCCCAGGATTTATCACCGGTAAGCTTCGTGTGTGTGTGTGTGTGTGTGTGTGTGTGTTGTTTTCTTTGTCAAAGTACGATATTATTCTACTCTTTGGACTCCAAATTCTAAAGTGAACAATTTTCTTTTATTCATTCCAATTCACTCAACAAGTGTTTACTGAGACCAACTATGTGTAATGGCAGGATTCCTGCGATTAAAACTCTCACTATAGGTCACTGTGCTGGGCTGCAGATCTGCACAGCCATGCACACTTCTGTAATATCAGACAGGTGGTGAGCATGGGAAGATAAAAGAAGCCCTGCTAACTCAGGGGAGGTTGGAATTAACCAATGTCAAATAAATGAAGCTCCCTATATCCTAAAGCAACTTTCCACAGGCATCCACATCAAACTTCTACCTTTAGAAATATATATCCCTAGGTTAAGACATTGCCCTCTATCATAACTAGGTTAACCATTGTCTAAATTTGTCCAGGAGAGTCCTGGTTTATTCCTCTTGTCCCAGCTTGCCATCTGGGTTAGAATTTGTCCCTCAAAAAAAGAAGCTCCTTGGGGCTGGCCGAGTGGCTCAGTTGGTTAAGAGCATGAGCTCTGAGCAACAGGGCTACCAGTTCAATTGTCACATGGGCCAGTGAGCTGCACCCAAGCTGAGCTGCCACTTAGCTGCCAACAGGTGGCAGGATGGCTCAGCTGGTGAGAGCACGTGCTCCTAACAAGGTTGCCAGTTCAACTCCTGCATGGGATGGTAGTCTATGCCCACCCGCAACTAAGATTGAACATGGCACCTTGAGCTGAGCAGCCAGGGGGAGCTGCCGATGGGCAGCCGGATGGTGACTGGACTTGGAGCTAAGCTAGCTGCGCTCTCCACAACTAAGCTTGAAGGACAACAACTTGGCTGTTTTCCTTCCCCCAATTCCCAATAAAATCGTTAAAAAAAAAGAAGCCAAATTGGACTTCAATCATGGCCATCTTATTATAATGCAAGACCCGTGACTAATACTGCATCAGGCTTTGTCAGTCACTCTCCTTTAATGTGATTAGATTCATCAAACATATTCTGCCCTCAGAGACAGTGGAAAGCAGGTTTGGAGTGGGAAGAGGAAGGAAGGAACAGTCCTGAAAACCCCCAAACAACTTTGGGATGGCCAGCAACGGCCAGGCCCAAAGAGCTTTATGGGAAGTTGGGTGCCGTCAGGAGCATCACAGTTTTTCCTACACTAGCAGTTCTAAGCCCTCTGTTTTCCAAGCCTGCCAAAATGAGGGGCTTTTAGGTGGGGCTGGGTCTTAACCGGAGTCTTTTCATCTCATGAAAGGATGATTTCAACAAGAGACACCGAAACCAGTGAGAGGTGTTTTAGTTTTTCTATTTTATATTTTCTAGCTTATATGCTTTGGGGTGTAATATTCAGATACCACTTGCACAGCTTCCAGACTCTGGCAAAAGTATGATTCTTCACAGGTGGGTGATCCAAAATGCCCTAGCTGATAGAACTCACTTGGTCTCAGGGAGGCACAGAGCTTTTAATCCATAGCCCAACTCTGTGAAGACCTTCATACTACTGTTGCAGAGGAGTTTTGAGGCTCTCCTTTATGTTCCCCTGGGCAAACATTTGTGGCCTGAAGTAACACCCAATCAGAACTGTCTTCAAAGCAAGTTCAGTGGTATCATCCAATCAAAATTCTTCCTGCCCCTTTCAGGACACTTGAAGGCAGGGGGCTGTTTTTGTTGTTGTTCTATTTACTCTGTAATGAAAACATTAAACTACAAGTCAGCATTATTTTTGTATAAAATCTTACAAGAATTAAGAAAATGCTATATGTTGCCCTTCCTGGTTGAAATGATATATTTTATCATCATGGGAAGGAAGTATAACAGTTTTTAGTTACTTCCCTAAAGGCAGTGTTCTCGGTTTATTGATCCCAAGAGAAGGCAGAATTTTGACACAGGAATAATAAAAACCCCCACCCCAAGGAAATATTTTCCAAAAGTCTCCTTTAGTACCATCCCTACCATTTCCCTAATATTTCTTTACCTTTCCAGTTATCCTGCAGATCCCAAGAACATTTTGCTCCAGGCTCAGGACCAGAATCTCTTTTCTGGAACTCATTTTAAGATTTTGCTTTCTCATTCAGGTCGAAAATGACTTTTCTCTTGCCTACTTGAATGGAGTCTTGCTCTTTGGACATGTGCTGAAGATATTTCTTGAAAATGGAGAAAATGTTACCAGCCCCAAATTTACTCAAGCTTTTAGGAACCTCACTTTTGAAGGTACAGGCACCTCAGAACAAACACCACCACAACCTAACTAACACTTTCTACAGAAAGCTGAAGAAATATGGACTTTGTGGGTGGACTTTGGGAAGCAAAGAGGGGGTTTGGCACTAGGTGGATTAATCTGTGGAGGCAAACATCACTGTATAAACTTTGAGGGTGCTGGTATTGATGACTGGACATCAGTTTATACTGTAGAATTGCAGAATCTTTGGATCAAAAGAAAGAGCACATAGCTCAGGCCCTGTGTTTATGAAGAAGCTCATCAAGTGGCATTTTGTGCAGTGATGTCCTGACTGAGCTTGGAGACTTAGCAAGAAGGGAAATATTGGTGGTTTGATTTTGGTCCTTCCATACCTCCCTTTAGAGATCTCAAGGCCAAGAACCAATCCAGATGCCCTCAGATTATAGATCATTTAGGTCAACAATTTTTT